AAGCCTTTTCAGGACCACCAGTGGCAACGCCCAGGGCGCTGGTGCTAAAGCCCCGAGGGCAAAGCAGGGCTGAAGCACGGCTCAAGGTTCTTGCCGATGGTTCTTCTAATTCAGGCGCCTGCTGGGCCCTTGGAGAGCCCCGCTCTGAGGGTGAGGCTGTAAAGTCTTACACTTCAGCACTGAAGCGTAGGCGCACTGAGAGCCCATTACAGAACATCTGACCGAGACGGACAGCTCTAGCGGCCTTAGAGGAAAGACCACGAGGGTTATTTTCCTCACCAAATGCGGCAGGTTACTTACCTCTGTCCGTCACCGTAACAGCCGTAGTCGCAAGCACACATTACACAGGGAGAGCACGTACTTTACCAGTTAAGCTACATGCAGATGTTCCTGTTTTTGTTGGCCCTCCAAATCCCGCACAGACGTAACGCTAGCTTGCATTTGAGATGAACCAGACACAACCACCAGTACTACTACAGAGTTAACCAAACACCAAATGTACTGAAGCACCTTTTAAAAACATCTGATCATACGGCTACTAGTACAGGGTCCCAAGACACCACAGTGATCATTCTGATGCAATTTATTGCCTCTGAACTTGTCAGATCAAGTCCATCCAGCAGCTTACCTTCGCTGGCACACACCTCCCTAAGAAAGGACTGATCAGAGCTTCACCGTACTGGCCCAACCTTTTATATGGTGAGGAAACAGAGTTCACGCTGTCCTACAACCCCCAGCTGCTTTTGTCAGCTGAAAAGCGCTCGGTTTACTTTGACAACTCCTCTAAACCACTACCGCCTACACAAGGAGTACAAGCTATTGTATTGGGGGCTTATAAAAAAGATGGCAGCAAACTTTTGAGCAGGGCCTGTTGCGACAGGACGAGGGGGAATGGCTTTAAAATAAAGGGGGGTAGATTTAGACTAGATATAAGGAAGACTTTTTTTACACTGAGGGTGGTGAGGCCCTGGGACAGGTTGCCCAGAGAGGTGGTGGATGCCCCATCCCTGGAAACATTCAAGGTCAGGTTGGACGGGGCTCTGAGCAACCTGCTCTAGTTGAAGGTGTCCCTGCCCACGGCAGGGGGGTTGGACTAGATGACCTTCAGAGGTCCTTCCCAACCCAAACTATTCTATGATTCTAAGGCTAGCTTCCCAGAAAAAACAGGATGCAAGATGGGAAGTGCAGGCTAAAACCCCAGACTAATAAAGTTTGGTAGTACCAGTTTATCTTTCTGCTGCAAAGTAAATCAAACAAGCACAAAAACATCTCTATGAAATATGAAGTACTACTAACACCTTAAGACAAGTTTATACCAAGTCATCATTGAATATCCCGAGTTGGAAGGGACACACAAAGATCAAGTCCAACTCCTGACCCCACACAGGGCAACCTCAAAGTTAAACCGTATCTCCAAGAGTGTTGTCCAAACACTTCCTTAACACCGACAGGCTTGCTGCCATGACTGCTTCCCCAGGGAGCTTGTTCCAGTGCTCGACCACCCTCAGTGAATAACTTTTTCCTAATACCCAATCTGAACTTCCCGACGCAGCATTAAGCCATTCCCTTGCATCCTATCACCAGACACCTCGTAAGAAATAGGATGACAAGTAGTCATTGCAGAATAATTAATCCCATTATAACCTATATCAACCACAGAGCCCCATAATTTGAGCATGCCAGGCGCCAGTCAGAATTACCTATCACTGCCAGCTTGCTTTTCAGATTGCCTGCAGTTCCCAATTCAAATCAGGGTTAGAAACGTTGGCCTGTAGGGCAAAATAATTCTTGCAGAGAAATGAAATAGGCTCACTAAGTTAATTTTTTTTTTCCTGAAGTAGGTACTCTTAACATGTTAAGACAATGAATATTTGTTTTGTCTGGTGAATTAGAACTCTAGACATTTAGGTTTTATAAAACATTAAAAATAGTTTATTTCTTTATACCTTCTACTAAGCAAACAGGTGAGCCACTGGATTTGGACATGCTACACTTCAGAAAAGCTGAGTGCAAAAGTTATTGAACACAGGTAACAAGTAATCATCTAGTCAGAACATGCAATATCTTTAATAAACAGAATTCACTGAAAAGTCAGATAGGCACTTACATTAACAGTAAAGAAGATAACTTTATCACTCTTTGAACACCATAGCAGCCTACTTGGAATTGCATTTGACTGAGCTTTGTTGCTGTGAATAATACAGCTCATGCACAGGTATGGATGTATGTTTTGTACATTTTAAAGTATTCACTGAATACTACCAACATATATACACTCATATACATAGTTCCAGAAGATTTAGGAGAAAATTTATAGACAACGGTTCATTTCTGCTCATCCTTTGGAAGAGGTCTTCTGAAGAGAAGAATATGCGGTTCTGTGGAAATAAAATTGAACAAAGTGTCAGTCTGTCAGCTAAGTCTTGATTACAGGGATTTCTTCCATTTGAGAAGACTTGAACAATAGTTGAAGCTCGCTGTCAAACAATAAGCAGATTAAGAAGTCAAGTCCACAAACACGGCCCTATGTGCAGTATTTACAGACCAGCTTTGCAGTAACCTTACAACAGTCAAAACAGGTGCTTTTGAAAGTTTTATACCAAATGTTGCCAGTATCATAAACTTGAGACACTTACAGGAAGGAAGTACTGGAAAAATAGAGTATTTTTATGTTAGCATTGGTACTAACTCTGTCTCTCTACATTGGGCTATTTGATGAGCTTTGTTACTGTAACTTAGACTAACAGACTGCTGATGCTGTCCTTGTTAGGTACATGGCATCAACAAAAGCCACCCTAGTTAGTACAGCCAGCTTACATTATTATTATTGATCTGACTTAACTGTAAACTCCTCCAAAAAAGCCTGAAGTATCAAAGGTGCCCAGGTAAGGGAAATGGTGGAAGGTTACGCTAATTTCTTCACCTGGTTCTTCAGAAACTTGGAACTCCACACTGCTGCAATCCATCTATCACCAGTTACTTTTTAGTCAGGCTTGTCAATGGTAACTTACCTTGAACGGCTGTTTTCAGTACATCCTAGTTGGTGGAGTTTTAGGTCTTCACACCCCATTAAGTAAAACCAGTCTTTCAAGTGCTGCTTTTAGTAGGCTGTATAACTAGAGTGAAAAACTATGCTGTAGACTTTTCAGAGCATTAATGCAGGACCTTGTCTACATGAGCATCTATTAAGTTTTTGTACAAAAAGTGTCAGCTTTATGATTTGAAGATACACTGCTACATAAAGTTTGGTTCAGTCACCAAGATACTAACATTATTCAAGAGCTCACAAGAAGCCAATTTCTATAGGCACAGGTAGGAACAGTTTCCAGCCTGGCATGTTTTGTCTACTGATAAACCACACATACCTAGGACAAGGCTAGCACTTTGCAGTTCTGGGAGCAAGATGTGAAGGTTTAAAATAAAGGCTGTTATGTTGCCTTTGTTGCCAGTTGGCTAAAATAGCAAGGAGATAAAGAGGACTCAACATTCAGTAGTGAATTCCAACTGGGTTCCACAGCAGGAGCAATTATGCACTACACACTTCAGCTGAGCACCAGGCAGTTGATATTTTAGACTCTTTTGTTCATCTAATTCTGTTCAGATGTGCTTACCTGGCTCATGGATCATATAGTGAACCCAGCCAAGACTTTGCTGAACACCAAGTCGTCTCCACTCCTCTTCAGACATCAGATGGGATTTTGGCACTTGTTTTGAAAGTTCTCTCGGCAGCATCACATGTCTGTAGATGTTTAAATAAACACACACTACATACAATAATGCCTACGCACACTAGAAAACTTGCACAGATCTACACTGAAAGACAGTAAGCAAGTTCAGTTATGAATAGCAGCATTCCCTATAAAGAAGCTTCGGGTACTGACCAATACCACTAGTTTGATTATGAAGCATCCATCCCAGAATCCAGTTTTACCTTCACTTTGTTTACTAAACATTACTCTGTAATGCAGCTGTATATTTAAACAGTCAACCTACTTCCTAGAAGACATTACTTCCCCTGCGTGCTCTAACCGTGCTACTTGTATAGAAGTATGTGTTCCTGGCAATTGGCCGTCATATCAGCAATTTGAAAAATAAGGACTTTGGACGTTTAGAATGATTGATGAAGTCACTCGTTTGTATTTTGCATTTTGTAACCAACAATGTATTTTCCACAGAGACTACAGTACTGGTTTAGAAAGACGGAACACTAACACGGCTTAAGAGCCTGATCTATCAGCTGAGGAGAAACATACAGCCTGCTCTCCACATTTACAAGTACCTTTATCACTTAATAGAAAGCAAAGCATTCAATCTTGTTTTTGAGATCGTAAGAGTCAGCTGGTATAAGGGACACTTAGACCTCTACACAGAGGAAAAAAAACCCCGATTTGTAATAGAGCTTTCAAGTCAGCCTAGAGGACTGAACTTCAACAGTATCAGTTATAATCCGGAACTGACTGGTGCTATAGCATAGCTTTGAAAGCCAGCAGAGAGAGCACTGCCTCGAAGGCTTTATGAGCTACATTTATTACTACCACGTTTTGACGCGGCCTTACGAACTGTCTTCAAAGCCGATGCCTTAATCAAAACGCATGCTTCATCCGCACTCAGAGCTCGAATTGAGACAGCACGAGACGTTACTCTTCGCCGTGTAGAGCATCCTGAACACAAGGCTTTGAGTTCCCCGCTTCAGCTTCTCACGGCACCTACGCGGGTGAGGCGGCAGGGCGCGAGGCAGCCCGCACGGCCCAAGCCC